TCAGCCTTTCTGCTCCTATGATGCTGCTTGGCCTGCTGTGTTCATCCAGCCCTGCACCTTGTTGTCTCCGATTCACCAGCATCTGCAGTTCCTACTATCTCTTGGTCATCTGACTGATCTGTTTGAGCTCCTTTTTGTTGTGTTCTTGAAACTTGGTGTAGGATAGGATTATTGAGCTTTGGCATATTTTACATGAGCTGAAATTTAGAGAGGATGAAGGACAGAAGGAGAAAACTGCAATAATTCAATTTAGAAGCAAAGATAGTACAAGTGAAATGATTGAATAATTAATCAACTTCTGGTAACTCTAGTTTTGACCAGGTGGGGTTAACTGTCCATGAACATAGGCCCATTCAGCTTATTAAACCTGCTCCATAATCCAAAACAATGACGGCCAATTGAACACTTCAATGCCAGTTACCCACATTATCCCCATACTTGTGCCAATGGTAATCGGAAAACTACCAAAAGCTCCTTTCAATGTACTCAAAAACTGAACTTCTGCAGTCCTCTGTGTGGAGCATTTCAAAGATTCACAACTTTGTGAATAAAAAAAATTCATGTCATCGCAGTCCTGAATTGCGTCCAACTTAATTTTAAATTGTACCCCCTGATTCTACACTCTGCAACCAGGAGAAACCTCTTACTTGTATCTACCCTTCTATCCCTGTACGTATTTTGTAAATTTCAATGAGTTGACCTCTTATTCTTCAAAATTTCAGAGAACACAGGTCCAGATTTTCCAATCTCTCGCCATAAGACAGTCCCACCATCCAGGGAACAAGTCTGATGAACCTTCGTTGCACTCCCTCTCTGGTAATACCAAGCTCCTACACAATTGAAACAAGCCTTCACTAACCTGGACTTCAATCCTCTTGTGATAAAGGGTAACATTCCATTAGCCTTCCTGATGGCTTGCTGCACGTGCATGTTAGCCATCAGTGACACGTCAACAAGGAAATCCAGGACCTTTGCGTATATACAGTTTTCAACTTCTCATTATTTAAGAAATACTCTGCACATCTATTCCTCCTACCAAAATGGACAAACTCACATTTTTCCAAATTATATTCCATTTGCCTTGTTCTTGCCCACTTAAAGTCTGTCCAAATCTGCTGAAGCTGTTTTACAACCTCCTCACTACGCATTCCTGCTTAGCTCCAGGACACCAGAGAAACTCAATGCCATAGAATGGGGTGAGGCTGATAATGACAAATGCTTTTATACATCAAGATGGGTAGAGCCGGGGAGATAGTGGGTTTCTATTTTACAAACTGTGTTTCTTTTTAGACATGTTATGTCAAACGTCCTGTTTTTGTCCAGTTGTCAGCATTACTTTCTTCTTGTGGGCAGCATTCACATCAGATTTGAATCAATCGTTAGCAGAAATTGCTGGAAAAGCTCAGCAGGTCTATCAGCATCCGTAGAGAGAAATCAGAGTTAAGGTTTTGGGTCCAGTGACCCGTCTTCAGAACTGAAACGTTATTCTGATTTCTCTCCACAGACGCTGCCAGACCTGCTGAGATTTGCAGGAAATTTCTGCTTTTGTTTCTGATTTCCAGCATCCGCAGTTTTTTTTTACATTAGATTAATGTTGCCCGATAGGCTGCCTCAAGATCAGCAAATCAACACAAAGCTGTGTTCTACAATCTGTGTACTGTATATTTGCTTCATAGTCATTAACCCATCTTATTAGGTATAGTTGGAACTGCAGATGTTTTTACTTCCCTTTTTTTTGTTTTGAAGATGGTGGGCATGTGGAAGTGAAATATTTAAAAGGATGGAGAATGAAGCAGCAGGACTCAACCTGTGCTTTACTTTTGGAGTCATAGCAGACATTCAGTATGCTGACGCAGAGAATGGCTTTAACTATTCAAGGACGAGGGAACGTTACTATAGGAACAGCCTCCACTTGCTGCGCAGTGCTATTGAAGAATGGAATGGAGAAGTGATCACTCCCAGGTTTATTCTGCAGCTTGGCGACATCATTGATGGATGCAATTCACAGCTAAAGTCCTCAGATCATGCACTTCAAGTGGTCATAAATGAATTTGCAAAGTCTCTGTCTCCTGTTCACCATATCTGGGGAAACCATGAATTTTATAATTTTAACAGGGAGCAGCTACTTAACTCGGCTCTCAATAGCAAACACTTGAGAAATGGCAAGCTCTGTGACAACGGAGACAGCAGCATTAAATCTGACTTGGACTCTGATGATCCTGAGTCATTTTACGGCTACCATTTTAGTCCATTTCCTAAATTCCGTTTCATATTAACTGACACGTATGATCTCAGTGTTCTGGGAAGGAAAAAGGATAGCAAGAAACATCACTATTCACTGCAGAAACTGAAATCAAACAACAGAAATGAAAATCTTAATAGCCCCAAAGGTAAATAGTAATTTTTCTGTATGTTTGTTGTGCAATTTTGGCTTTGCGTCGTGTGCACTTCCGGTTGGTGCTTTCCATTTCGATAAAGGCCCGTGGCCAGCTTTAAAATGGAGCGATCTGTGTAAAATAGAATGAATTGTGTAAAACAGAACAGTCTGTGAAACAGAAATGTCTGTGAAAAACCTGTTGTGGTTGTAATTACAAACTTACCATCATGAAGGTGCTGTATGACAGTATCAGACGGAGAATGTAATTAGGCTGTCACTAGTTTATAGCGAGTTCCCATTCTAATTTGGACAGAGGGTTTTACAATGGATATTTTAAAATTAAATGTAATACCATAAAATGCAGTAATGGTGCCAACCCCATTTTTACTGGCCTCAAAACTCTCATTTTTGAAGATGCTGCACATAGTCATTGACACCCCCACCCCCACTCTCCCAGCACCATTGCCATCCCACTCTAACTTGTATTGGCATCAGTTGGTTTTTGGAAAATAGTTGTATGTTGCATTTGCTGTGCTAACAGGTGCTGAAATACCTTTTTTTTCAGAATTTGGTTATTAGTTTCGTTTTTGTGAGATTGCAAGCCTCAAAAATAGCAAAAGACATAAAAATTGCTACAAGTTGAAAGATATATAATGAATACAAGTGGTTTGATGCAAGTTGAAAATGTATTCGTTCTATCTATTTGATTGATAGGACTCAATGGACTGAATTCACGCTTTCTGGCATTCAATGGAGGTTTCAGTCAAGAACAGCTGGAATGGCTAAACAAGATACTCACTTTCTCTGATAATAACCAGGAAAAAGTTGCCGTCATTGGTAAGTAATGACATCCTTGACAAATTAGAAGGTATAGTTTCAGTGACAAAAATAGAAATTGCTGGTGAGACTCAGCAGGTCTGGCAGCGTCTGTGGGGAGAAAGCAGAGTTAACGTTTCGAGTCCGGTGGCTCCTCATTAGAACTAATCTGTTTTTCTTTCAAATCTCCAGCATCTGTAGCTGTTTATTTTATTTTATATTTGAAGTGACTAGATTTATCATGCATTTGTTCTGATAGTAATCTTGGTTTAAATAAATCACATTTGTCCTCTTGGAATAGAAATGGTGTGTGAATACCAAAAAGAAGAGAATGAATAAATCTGAAAGGTAGCTTTAAAAACCAATCTTGTGTCTAAGCATATTATTGTATGGCAGATATGATCTTTGATGAGTGGTGTCATGAGCAGGTGATCGGTGCAAGTTTCCTGCCTTGTTCTGTTTGCAGCGGGTCACATTCCTTGTTTTCTGTGTTCAGAAGTCAGATCATCTGCTTTATTTCTATCATATTGCCACTTTGGAAATGTTTCCAAAAATCATCACTTGGACAGCATCAATATAACAGCACGCTAGAAATGTCCTTCCAACACAGACTTTGAAGGTTTATGTGAATTATATGCATTTCTTGTTGTAGTGCCTTTGTTCTGGTACTTCAGTTTTGTTCCTCTGACATTTCTGTAATCTTGTAAAAAAAAGAGCCATGCTCTTGAACTTTTATGTTAATACTCTGATTATTGTTGAAACTGATGTGACCACTGATTGTAAGTACAACGTAAATTGTGTCAATCACTTGTATAACGTACGTCTATCACACAGGTTATGCATAACACTCAGTGAGATTTCTACTCGGGTTTACTTGAAAAATATAGATACTGGCAATGTATATGTGGTTTAAGTGCAGCAGGCCTTGAGCATGAGGAGATAAACTTGTAGGTAGAGTATGCACAGTTTTGTGTTTTGAGACAAATACTTTACCTAGCATATTTTCTGAAAATTTGGAAGCACAATAGGAAATACAAAGGGCAGCACGGTGGCTCAGTGGTTAGCATTACTGCCTCACAGCACCAGGAAGCCGTGTTCGATTCCACCCTCAAGCGATTGTCTGTGTGGAGTTTACACATTTCCTCCTGTGTCTGCATGGGTTTCTTCTGGGTGCTCTCGTTTCCTCCCACAGTCCAAAGATCTGCAGGTGAGGTGGATTGGCCGTGCTAAATTGGCCATACTGTCCAGGGATGTGCAGGCTAGAAGGATTGGCCATGGTAAATGCAGGGTCACAGGAATAGGGTAGGAAGGGTAGTTCTGGGTGGATGCTTTTCAGAGGATTGGTGTGGAACAGATGGGCTGAATGGCCTGCTTCCACACTGTAGGGATTCTATGAATTTATAATACTTTCTTCTGTTCCATTCTTGTACATCTTACAGCTCACTATCACCCTCTCAGGTACAGGCAATGAATGCTGGTCTGCCAGCGACACCCACATCCCCACGAGTGAAACAAAAATTAACTGAGAAGACGTTGAAGTATTTCTTATCACAGAAATGTACAATCATGTGTACTGAGCCTTGACTTGTATTGATATTTATATTGATACCTGTGTTCACATCCTCAGGATATCCCTGAAGTACTTGACAACCAAAGGATTTTTTTTGAACAGAACAAGTTTGCACAAGCAGCAAGTGATTAGATGATCTGCTGTGATGTTGCCAATTGCAACTCTAGTCCTGCTGTGTGGTGCCCTTATCAAGGATAATTAGGGATGGTCAATGAATGTTGACTTAGCCAGCGAAACCTATAGCATGACCAATTTTTTTTTAAAACTCTGAGATTAAGTAATTATGTCCATTGGTAAGCATAGGACTTTCTAGTTTAGATGTCAGGGCTATCCATGATCCTCTGACTTGAGCAAGCGTGCTAACATCAGAGCAAAGCTGACACTGAAAATATGTGTGTAAAGATGTCAAATGAAAGGACTGTACGAAACAAATTACAGGTCCTCTAACCAGGATATGTAGCTATGTTTAGAGTCAAATCTTGAATGAAGACAATAATTCCTTACCCAATCAGCAATTATTTCATTTCCTCTTGTTTATTTAACAGTTTATCAGTCCTTTATTTCAGCACATAATCTAAGTTGACACTGAATTTTTGTAGAAGTGCTGCACCATTGTATTTACCATCTTCAGTGTAATATCATTTAAAGGTTATGTGTGCTGTTGGCAATTCAGGTGGGTGAAGAGGTCATTAGCTGCTCGCTTCAGCAGCAAGTTGAATAAAAGAACAACAGAGAGTTTGTAACTTACTGGCCAACATTCCTTTCTCAAGCGGTGCTGCAAAAGAACAGATTAACTGGTAAAATCTGAACCAAGTCAAGTTCACTGCTGCTAGCGAAGGCAACTGAACACCTTTGGTCACCCTTACATAAGTAACATTGTAAATTTATTGTGAAATTTCCTGTTTTGGATTTTTAGCAAATTTGCAGTTCATTCTTTTTCCCTCTATTATTCATCTTACCTGCCATTCATCCTGTAGGCCAGTCTCACAAAACGTCTTGGCATCAATGCAAAGAAACTACAGCTTCACATTGATAGGTGATGTCCTGGTGGTATTACCGCTAGGCAGTTAATCCAGAGATCCTGTTAATATTCTGGGTACTCGGGTTCAAATCCTGCCATGGTAGATGGTAGAATTTGAATTTAATAAAAATCTGGAAATAGGAGTCTAATGATGACCGGGAAACTGCCAGCGTTACCTGGTCTGACCTACATGTGACTCCAGACCCACAGCAATGTGGTTGACTCATTACTGCCCTCTGGGTAATTAGAGATGGGCAATAAATTCTGACCTGGCCAGCGACACCATCATCCCATGAATAACTTAAAAAACCTATTATGTTCAGGCATGAAATTGCACATATTAAGGTGCTTTTTAATTTTAGCAGTCAATACGTTAGGATCTGTATCGAATAACTTCAGCTTCATTTTAAGATTTTCTACCATTGGAGAGCTCCTACTAATTTTCTACGAGTATCAAAATTAAACTGGCTAGCACGAGGGGACATAGCTTTAAATTGAGGGGTGATAGATATAGGACAGATGTCAGAGGTAGGTTCTTTACTCAGAGAGTAGTCAGGGCGTGGAATGCCCTGCCTGCAAAAATAGTAGACTCGCCCACTTTAAGGGCATTTAAATGGTCATTGGATAAACATATGGATGATAATGGAATAGTTTAGTTTAGATGGGCTTCAGATTGGTTTCACAGGTCGGCGCAACATCGAGGGCCGAAGGGCCTGTACTGCGCTGTAATGTTCTATGTTCTAAACTAGGATTTGCATGACATACCTGAGAAGCAGAGACATGCAGAGTTTTTAAGTTATTCTTGTTTGGACAGTAACGCATTGTCCTGCATAAATGTGCTGCAAACTCTTTATTGCTTTATTGGTCTCAAATTGGTATCTCTTATACAGCTGCGTTGGTTTTTTTTTTACCAGTTATTTTTGACTCAGTTTGACTAAAGCACTGGATGAAGTGTAGAGTGGATTTGTTTATGTATATTTTGACCAGGTATTGAGCAATTCAGTTGAAAGCATGAAAACATGTAACTAAAAGGAAGTGGAGTAAAGATAATGTAATTGTAAACTGTTTTCTCAATGCAGGTCATCTTCCTATCCACCCAGCCTCAACAGATCCAATATGCGTTGCCTGGAACTATGATGAAATCCTCTCACTGTTGCACGCACACACTAGTGTAGTGTGTTTTATCGCAGGCCATGATCACGATGGTGGTTACTACTTGGATGATCACGGAATTCACCATCTTACCTTGGAAGGAGTGATTGAAACACCACCAGAAAGCCATGCATTTGGTACCATTCATGTGTACGAAGACAGAATGATCTTAAAGGGAAGGGGCAGGATTCCTGAGAGAGTTCTACACTTTGAGAATCATAAATGAATGAACCTCTGTGTTATAATCTTGAGACATACAGACCTTAATCACACGATGCTGTGTACTTTCTAGCTAAATGTTGCAATGGATTTCTCCACTTTAATAAACAAGCTCAAATGGCAGAGCAATGGAGTGTTATTGGAAAATTAAATTCAAATAATTTAACAGTAAATTTCCATAGCAATAATTGAAGATTCCCACTGTGGTCACAAAATCTGATAGTGATTCAAGTTTCTTGGGTTTTGACTTTGTAGCGCTGTTTTGCATAAGCATGGTACTATTTCATCTGAACCCTTCCATTTTGCATTGCCCATGTGTTGCAGTTCAAGCAGCTTTTAAGTTAATGCACACAAACATAGGCCGTTGCTAGTCACAAATTTCTTGTTAACGTAACATAAATTTAAATATAAATATTGCATGAACCTTTACCTTAATAAAGGTAGCACAGTGTGATCAAGATTTTGCAGTCCCTCCTTATAAAGACTTTCTAAAGGCATTCAAAGAGTTGCGACAGAGAAGGCTTGTTTTAAAAAAAACTTATATAAGAAAGTAGCAATGTCGGCGGGCGGGGTAAAAGGGGAAGGCGATGGCCTAGTGTTCTTATTGCTGTACTGTTAATCCAAAGACCCAGATAACCTGGGCTCAGTCCCCGTCTCTTTGACCTGTCTGTCTCCTCTCCACCTATCTTCTCCTCTATCCATCTTCTATCCATCTTCTATCCGCCTCCCCCTCTCTCCCTATTTATTTCAGAACCCCCTTCCCCTCCCCCATTTCTGAAGAAAGGTCTAGGCCCGAAACGTCGGCCTTCCCGCTCCTCTGATGCTGCTTGGCCTGCTATGTTCATCCAGCTCTACACCTTGTTATCTCAGATAACCTGGGGACCTGGTTTCGAATCCCGCTATGGCAGATGGTGAATTTGAATTCAATAAAATAACTGAATTAAGAATCTAATGATGATCATGACTCAATTGTAGGAAAAACCCATCTGGTTCACTAATGTCCTTTAGGGAAGGAAACTGCCATCCTTACCTGCTCTGGCCTACATGAGATCCAGACCTGCAGCAATGTAGTTGACTCTGAATTGCCCTCTGGGCAATTAGGGATGGGCAATAAATGATGCCTGGTCAGATACTCCTTCATCCCGTTTAATGAATAAAAAAACGATAAAAAATTTGCTAAGTGGTGGAAGCAGAGGATGATGATTCTTAGACGATTTTTAGACTGAAAGTTGGTTTGTTTTGGGGTTCCCAAGACATCAACACAAGGTTACTTGGTAGGAATTTTCAGAATGATAAAGTGTTTCTTCTAGTGAATAGGCTGATAACTACCGGTGTTGATTTCAATAATCAGGAAGAGATCTAACAGGTGACAACAATTGTTTTTTACTCATAGGTGTTGGTATCTGGGATGCTCTTCATGAAAACATAGTGGAATCTGATTCCATAAATAATTTTAAAGGAAGATGGGGCAAGATTTTGAGGATGAGCAACTTACAAGGTTACAGTCAAAAAGTGGGAGGCTGGGACTAATTTGGACTGCTCTTTCAGAGAACCAGTATAAGCAGAATTGACTGAATGGCTGTCTATTATGCTGTAAGGTTCTCTGTAAAAGTTACTTCAATACCATCCAAATGGATCCAGCAAATAGAGAAACTGAACTAAAAGTCAAAGATGAAATCGAAGTGCAACTTAGGACAGGATATTTATGTACTCATTATGCATATTAATACAATATTAATTGTATTAAAAGGGGATTTACTTGTTTCTCTATAAATAGACAGAGTGAAATTCAACTCAAACGAATGCTTGTAAAGTTGTGCAAAGATAGGCTCAAGTCTTCACTGATTTGTCTTTTTGGAACATAATACTGGAAATGTAAGTGCCAATTTTTGTTACTTCAAAAGATTCACTTAATTATACACATCAAAACCACATGGTAATAATTAAGCTCATGCCTGAAACCTGGCCAGAGCTCAGAGTATGCTTCCATACATCCAACAATGACCATGTTGTGAGGAAGTAGGAAAGATGATTGATAAAATACCTTGTGGTATTTGATATTGGGTGGCTATTAATGAAGTTAATCAAATAGAGAAGCACTGCTTAAAGCAACTTGTTTCATTGCTAAGGATATTTTTCAATCCACTGATCTGTTATGTAATTTAGGGAGTCCATAAAAGAAGGGAAAGATTGTAAATTGTTTGGAGCTATTCATGGAAGTGAGCATTTTTCTATTCAAAAAACTTTGTCGGAGGAGGAGCATAACCCAAGTCTTTTATATTTTAATGTAGGCATCTTATTCCAGTTATGATCGTGGAAATAGAGAATATAACACTGGATAGGTTTAACATAAATGAATGTGTACCTCAAAGAAAAGCATATGTACACAAAATGAGCCCCCATTAAAAGGAATATAAAACTTATACTAGCATTCTTACTGAACATTCTGTGTTAGAATGAGATTGAAATTTTTAGGATAAGTCTGGCTATGAATATGCCAGAGATCTAGGAATCAAAAGATTCAGCTCTCAAACTGATGTACCCTGAAAGAGTGTTGCTTTTTTGTTTATTATTCACTTGTGGCCATTTCTGGCTGACCAACATTTATTGTCAGTTCCTATTTGCCCTTGAGCAGGTAGTGGCCTTCTTGAACTGCAGTGGTCCATGTGCTGTAGGTGGATCCACGATGACCTTAGGGAGGAAATTCCAGGATTTTGACCCAGCAACAGAGAACGAAATGCAATATATTTCCAAGTCATATTATGAGAGCTTGGTGGTGTTCCCAAATACCTGCTGTCTTTGTCCTTCTGGATGTGGTATCAGTTTGGAAGGTGGTGTCTGAGGATATCTGGTGAATTTCTGCAGTGCATCTTGTAGATAGTACACATTGCAGCTACTGAATGTCAGTGGTGGAGGGAGTGGATATGGTGCCAATCAAGCGGGCTGCATTTCTGAAGAAGGGTCTCGGCCCGAAACATCAGCCTTCCTGCTCCTCTGATGCTGCTTGGCCTGTTGTGTTCATCCAGCTCTACACCTTGTTATCTCTGTTTTGTCTTGGATGGTTTCATGCTTCCTTGTTATTGGAGCTGCACACATCTTGGCAACTGGAGAGTATTTCATCACACTCCTTACTTGTGCCATGTAGATGCTGGACAAACTTTGGGACCCAGAAGGTGAGTTACTCATTGCACTATTCCTAGCCTCTGACCTGATCTTGCAGCCATTATATTTTAATGGCGAGTTCAGTTGAGTTTGTGGTCAGTGGTAACCCTCAGGATGTTGATAGTGGCTGATGGTAACATTCAGTGATGGTAACACCATTGAACATCAGTGGCTGGTGTTTTGATTGTCTCTTATTGGAGTTTGCCAGGCATTTGTGTAATGCAAATGTTACATTCCATTTATCAGTCCAAGCCTGGGTATTGTCCAAATCTTGTTGCATTTGAACAGGAACTATTTCAGTTTCTGAGTAGTTGCAAATGGTGCTGAACAGTGTGCAGTTATTGGCAAATATCTCTGTTGGGCAGATTCTGACCTTATGATGGAGGAATTGTCATTGATGAAGCAGCTGGAGATTGTCAGCTGTACCGCCCATTGATCCAACTTAAAAATGAGGTGCAACTGAAACAGGACGTGACATTTTGAAAAGCAGGAAGTTCTCCTCACTTCTCTGATGAAGACTCATCTAGACTCAAAGTTAGTTTGCTGTCTCTCCTTGGATGTTGTCTGACCTGCTGTGATCTCCAGCATTTGTTGGTTTCAGTATAGATTCTAGCATCTGCAGTAATTTGCTCCTACAGTTCTTCTCACTATCCTGGCCAACATTTATCTTCAACAAATATCAAGGGAAACAGTTAACTGGTAATTCATCTCATTTGCAGATTGTGGAACCTTGCAAAGAATAATCATTGGCCATTTTTATCTGTAATATCTCTACTGCTTTATGGGAAGAATTTGAGACATCTAAGGATGTGATAAATTGTTGTGTAAATGCAAAATCATTATTTAATACTGAAGAAGAGAGGAAAGGACACCAACATCTCTACCACAGTCACTACCACATTTCTGGTTTTCTGAATATGTAGTGTAAGGAAGAATTTAGGTGCAGTTTATATCAAAACGTTAATAGGTCACAGTTAGATCTCAAGTGTTTAGATTTGCAATGTTCAGCTTTGGGGAAAGGTGGAATAGAATTCAGATGAAGCTCCTGACCATGTTGCTTGAGACAAAAGAGATTGACCAAAAGTTTCTTGAGAAATGTTCACCATCAGTGTTGGCATGTGTTTGTGTTCAGCAGTACAGGCAGTGTCCAGGTTGCTAATGGGTTCTGTTCTTAATTGTGTTTGCAAGTCAGTTTATATACATGTTGGAATACAGTACAAGCTGATACAAGGTAGCCACTCGTAAGTACCCAGAAATATTTGTAAGACTGATCTTTAAAATTACACTCCTCTATTGCGTTGCGTTCATAAGTCAGACATTTGTAAATCGCCCCCGCGCCCCCCCCAAAAAAAACTGTAGTCACTTGCTTAAAGGCATCCCTGATTAATCTAAACACTTACCAGGCATGTTGAGTTTTGGAAGTTAAGCCACTGACTTCCTGTTTTTGGAATAAAGAAACACAAAGTCTGAGACAGTCTGGAGGATCTGGTCAGGAAGTCAGACACATTAATTGTTCTTTTCTCATAGCTGATCAGATTCAGAGTAATGATTGGTGATGTAAGGTTGTACTTGGTTCCTTGGTAAGATCAAAAATGGTACATTTGGTCAGTTCTATGCTACAAGGAGTGTTAAATAAATTGTAATGAATTATATTTGTTACTCAGTTCACTCTTTGTTAGTTAAGGACTTTTAAAGTACACTTTTATTGACATAAAAAGAGGCTTTCATTATGCTTAAGAATAAAAGGAGAAAATATTTGGTGGAAAATTCAACCCAAATATTTGTACATTTTGAGAAAGGAGTAAAGACAGTGTTAATGATGAATGTGACTAAAGTTCAATGAAACGTGTGAGAATTAAAAGATGGTACACATTTGAGCAAAATGATAACTCCCAATTATAACAATTTACAAATATCACTTTTACGGCGCTCACCATCAGACTCTGACTTAACTTTTTGTA